AAAAATCTTTATACCTTTTGCAAGGCAGAAGAAATCTTTAGGGCTTTCAGCTATACAAGCCTAATTTGTCAGGTTTTTTTCCCCCTCCCCATCTCTCTTAATGGATCTCTTATGCATTTATAATGTACTCAGTACCATGGTATCCAGGGACCTTATACACGATTTATAAAGCAAACATTTTTTTTCAAAAAAGTTTCTACTTCTCTTCTGGCTATTGCCAATCTCTGAATCAGGCTCTCTTCCTTTGCAAATCAAAGAGAACGAGTTGTCTGTTTTAGACTCCTGACACAAACTGTCTTACAGTATCCTGGCTTTGCATTTGTGGGACGGCAAAGTCAGGTTCACGTTGATTTATTTCAGCAGTTATTAACTATAGAACTGCCTGTAATCAACAGAGCTGCCTGCATTTCTCCATCAGCTTCAACACTGGTACGAGTCAGAACTGGCAGTTCCCTAGCTCCGTGCAGAGCGGTATCCGAGGTAAGAGCCCAGAATGTTTCAATATACATTGAAGTGGCTATATAATTACTATATAGAGAAAATAATTCAGTGCTGATGAGGAGCGAAGCTTTAAATTTCCATGTCACTAGTTGTAAGCAGCTGGATGCTGCAGGCACCGGTTGGGAATAGCTTCCTACTCAGCATCCTGAAGAGTCCGACCGCTGCCTTGCAGGGTGACCAACCCTTCACAAATGCCTAAGGTGTCCATCTGGTTGCGCGAGGACGTTGTACTCATTCTGGGCCTGAACCTCTGAAGGTGAGCTCTGTAATACTGATAGCCTTTATTGGATCCAGCTTTCCCGTCTCCATTATAATACAGCGGTAACAGCGTATTTGTATTTTACTCCACAGTGGTAGTGGGCAATGTATTCAAGAGCCGATGGAGACCGGCTGAGTGCAGTGCTGGCACAGGAGGTAACACTGATCAAAGCCTTCATGTACTCCTTGCTCCAAATCAACGTGCTTGATTTTTTCTGCTACACTTGTTTTCCAACACTAATATGTAACAGCACCTAAGAAGAAACATTATTTGAACATTCACATGTCCATTTACGCTGACTTTTATTTCCTAGGTCACCAAAAAAGTTGACCAAAAAAACCTCCAAGCCCCCCAAACCTTGTTCCATGGACGCAGACATACGTTGGGTTGTCTAACTCCATTCGAAGAGACTTAGAATGGCTGCAGGGCAGCACTGAGGGCGAGCCGTGTTGCTCTCTAGGGTTACCTCTGGATTTGAGACCGAACAGAAAGGATCTACAGAAATTTAATAAAAAAGGAACACTGGATTAGTAAGTTGCAAAAGTAATGGATTCAATCATGAATTAGAAGGATAAGTCAAAACTAAATTCCTTCTGTTAAAAAAGAAGAAAGTGCCACTACATCTTCATGGTACTCAGCTGGCCAATGTGTTAGAAGCGCTGCTAATGGTGCAGCGCCCTTCTCCGCAGCTCTGGACACTGGATTACCACCGACATGCCCGTCACCCCTCGCCACACTAGCAGCTCTGCTTCTCCTCCATTTCCCACCAAAGTCTTCACTGAGAGGTGGACGGCTCGGCCCCGGCTTGTTAGGAGCAATGCTGGGACTGTTTCATGAGTGGGGAGTGCAGGAACCTCCCTGGCAGTTTCTGAGAGGAGCAGATGTGCAGATCTGACCTCCTCAGCATTCGGCAGTGTCGGTGTCCTGCTTTGTCCTCCCCAGCTTGATCTCTCTCAGACAGGAACCCTCCATTAACTTCAGAGTCAGACCTTACTGGAGATGACAAGTTTAGACTAAATACAAATACTCATGTAAATGAAGTTTTGAATTAAGGCTCTATAAAATAATACCGCAAAGCATAAATAACATTTTTACTAGCTTGTTGACTAAGTGATAAAAAAATGACAAGGTGAAAGGTGTTAATAATTTAAGCTAATATTTCTAATTCCTATTAAATTGTTAAACTACAGATAATCCTGAGAGCATTTTCAGTAAACTGTTGCAATTTCTAGCTAAAAAAAATACTCTGAAACCAGGGGTACAGAAAAACCCCATGTAATTCAAGAGGGAACACAGAAATTTTGGAAGAGATCAAGGCATAAACAAAAACATGAAATGGAAATGAGCATCCAAAACGGCAAAATATATTTAAGCAATATCACAAATACACAAAAAAAAAATCTATTTACAGATCTAAAATTGGTACATCCAGTAAAAATCCTCCCACAAAAAAGTATTTATAAACAAGAAATTTGACCCAGTTACATTGTCTGCTGCTGGCAACAGAGGTGCCTTACAGCTAGCATAGCGTTAAACTATGCCTTTGCAAAAGAAAGGGAAAACTTAATAAAGGTGAAGAAATTATTTCTGGGAAAAACTTGAACTGAAGGCTGGACAACAACAATCACAAGGCATACAAAGCATAAGGAACTGCAAATACGTAACTCTGGTAGTACAAAAATGAAGAAGAATGGCTTTTTTCTCCAATAGTTGTTCAGAGAAACACACTACTGTGAATTTGCAATTTTAATTCCTTTTAAAGACTTAGGTTTGTAGGACTTCGTGCATGTGCATGTTTCAGCAAGGCTGATACTATACAGGAGGTAAATGAAACAAAGTCAACATAAAATTACTGTCATGATATAAATTTATAACAACCTTTATAACAAAATGCCTGAATATACAGTACAGAGACAAGCCTCTAAAAAAAAGTCAGATTTTCTCCATCCAGACAATTAATTTGTAAGCATGTTACTGCTAAAGAAAAACAACTTGTACGTAACCGACAGCATACATAACATTCTTTGGAATTAGATTTCAATTTCTCTTTTGGGTGTTGCCTGTGTATTTCATACAGGGAACAGCGGAGGGATAAATCCTCACTTCTCACTGGGATTAGGAGCTCCTGGTGTGTTGTCCCTCAGGCATGCGCTCGGGGCTGGGCAGAGACCGCGGAGGTGCACGAGTGCCAGGAGCCGGAGAACTCCACCTCCGCCTGGGAACGTGGGTCACGCTAGGACGCCTTGGTATTAGTTGGTGTAGAAGCAAGGAATTAATACTGTTGAATTCCTGAGACTCATCATCCCACACCCTGGGTTTTACTGTGTTTTGAAACACACAAGACAGTCTCTTTGTCCAAAAAGGCCTCACAGTTTTGAATGGCTGTAAACATCTTTTCTAGTTTAAATCAGCATTTTTACCATGCCTTTGCTGTTTAAAAAAATAATAAAATCAAAAGTAGGAATACCTTAGCTGATGTTGAAACTATTTCAGATTCAGAAAACTAGAGTCCTTTAATTGAGAAAACAGAAGCAAATCTGCAAACACGTGATCGGTTTTGCAAATAATCTTTTTGCTATATTTTTAACTGACTCTATCTAACTTTCAGCAAACTGCTAAAGATCACCCAGTCTATCCTAGAGAAAATCTAACAGTTTGACAAGTAAGCTGGAAATAATTTAATAAACAGAGGCAAAAGATCAGCACCAACGGTTGCGTTTGTTCTGCCCAAAGCTAGGCCCATCACTGCGCTGCAGAAGGGACACTCCATTTTAGTCTGCCCACAGTCCCAGGACAGGTCAGGAGTCCCACGCTTTTCCTGTTCCCCTTGACGTACAAAAAGAAAGATACAGATGATGTTCACAAAAATGTAACAGTAGCAGGTATAGAGTAAGATTTACCCCTTATAATTAGCGAGAAGTGTTATGGTTGATGTTCAACGCTTTTCCAGCTTTTCCAGTGCTTTCCAGTCCAAAGAAAGGACTAACTTGTTGACTTTCAAATGTTCACAGGGTAACTATCAGGTATTACAGTGTTGCTTTAAGGGGACTTTGTTAAAAATTTCTAGTGCTCGAGTCAGAACAGTTTATGATGCAATCAGATGAACTTTTACTGAAATAGCAGTCAAAATAATGGCGATTTTACAAACCAAGTGATTGCCTTTATGCAATCTTTTTTCTCCATACTCAAGGGTTGTTGGCCAGAAATGGCTGAAAATTACTTCTGCAGAGGAGGCAGAGCTGCTTTTCTGCAACCTGACAGATGCTCGTTCAGCCTCACTTCAAGTATACAATTTATGTGCTTGAATGAGGAGCTTATGTACCCAGCCCAGGCTCCAGAGGATGACTTAGAACAGACGTGCTCTAAGGTTATTAAACGACATAAGGGATTTCTCTGCTTGACCTTTGGCATACGAAAGCAAAACCAAAACAAATCTAGTAGGCACAATCACAGGAAAATTCATCCTAAAATAGAGATCAAATGAGTCTTCCTCTAGAAATATTTATTTCTCTTTGTTAATGAGCAGCAGAGCACTTCAAGTCACTAGCATGGATTCAGATGTCTAGCTTTCAGACATCTGAATTTAAACGAGATGACTCCTACCTCAGGCTCCCATCTTAGGAACTTAAGTTGGATACCTGAAGTTAGACGGTGAGATTACCTCTGTCCTTACTAAGATCTGCCACCTCTCGAATCCGTGACAGAGCTGCAATCGCAGCATTTACTTAGAGAAGACCCAACGGAGCTGAGTCTTGGCAGGACATCTCATCTCATCTCTCATTTCTTTATCCCCTTTTCACTTTATGGAAGGGGATGGAGAAAGGCGAAGTGGGGTGGGGATGGTGTCTTGCTAAACAAAGTTGTGTAATACACGCTAATGAGGAAACCTAGTGGCTGTCACCTGTAAATCCTACAAAAATCACCACTTCGAAGTTGGTGGGTGCAAATTACTCTGGCTATTGCAGATCTCATAATTTAATCACACATTTTATTTTCAGGAGTTACTAACAGGTATCAGTGTTAGCAGATTCTCTAACTTAGCTGCCTAAAAAGTTCAAATGGAATTAGAAAAACCCTTAATGGCAAAGATTTAAAGAGCTTCTAAAGTATTCTCATGTATTTAAATAAAAAAAAATTAATAAGCTGTATTTTAGACAAATATCAGCAAGTGCCTAACATTTTTATTAAAATACTGATGGAAACAGAAAAAAAGTAAACTCTAGGTCTAGTGGATTGCAAAAAAACCCACCACAAATTGTACTGTCTTAGCCACTTAGTTGTTTCACCCCTTATTTTCTGCACTTGAGAAAATGAGATCAGAAAGCTATACAGCTTCTTTGACTGAAGAGGAAAGGCCGGGGCAGGATATCTAGGGTCCCATCCAGCTCTGTAAGTGGAAGGATTAAGATTAGGACCTTGTGGCTGGGAGAAGAGAGTTGAGGAATACTCAGGATTCACTCCTGTCCTAAGGGAATAATCTATTCTTTCTGACAAACTTTGCTCGTGGTTTTAATAGATAATGAACTCATCAGTCCAATCCTGTACTTAGCATTTTACAGAATCAAGGTCTTAGGCACAGCAAAGACTTCAGATGAACATGGAAGCAGGGCAACACTTGTATTTCCATTTTTTATCTATGGATTATTTTCTTTGTTAAATTCCTTGGGTGTTTTTTTTTTTTTTTCTTTTCTTCAGGGTAGCTTTTCAAAATACAAACTAGTAAGAGCCTGGAAAAGACAGAACCACCCTAACAGGTGAGGGAAAAACTCTCAGTGTGCTTTTTATTCCATATATGAATTAACTACTGGGAATATTTAAAAAAAAAAAAAAAGATCATCAAGCAAGATACTGAATTTTGAAAGTAACATTGAAGTTTTTAAAACTGCACTTCAAAAAACATTGTCCGAGCAGCATCAGAACATTAGAGTGTTGCCGATTTCCTTGTTTTCTGTGGCAAATTTCCACCGATGGCAGTAGAGAACTGAGGCAGGGGCTGAAGATGTAAAAGCAAATAAAACGAAAGATTCTTGGTAACTACTTACCTAAAATGGCTATTCATTCTTCTCTCTTATTTTTTTGGCTCAGTGCTGTTTTATAATACCCTTGACCCCACTATATAATTTCAAGGACATATACATTGATTTGAGTATTAGCTTGGTTCCTTTCCTGTATTTGAACCTTATAGTGGATATAAATGACAAATAAGCATGCTGTAACATTCACAGGAGCTGTTGTCCATCAAACTGGTGACTCTGAGTGAAAGCTGCTTTAAGTAACACATATGAACACGTGAACTGTCTCCAAGATGCACGGTCATATTAAATAAGTCTCTTACATATGTACACACAGACCAGTGACAAAACTCAAATATCATAGTCCTACCCTCTTCTGTTTAAGATTGCAGTTTCTATCTGTTGCATATACTGTAGCTGCTCAAAGAGCTGAATAAAGTGAGTGTAGCAGACTTTTTCAGAGAAAAATAGTCATATAAAAAGTTTTAAGTATGGTACAGTGAGAAAGTTCCCAGAGCTCTCACTTCATTTTCTCTTTGGTTGCTAATTAGGATTTGACGAGTTTGAAACCCTGCCCTGTGTCCAGGACTGTGGGAAGAAACCAACTCATTTTCAGTCTTTTCAAGCACCTAAAACACGCTTTACAGACCCAGAACAGATTGAGACCACAAAACCAGTTTGCCAAATGCACTAAAGGATAGGTGATACGTGGGAAGTATATCATCCAGTGTTTGGCAACATCGCTTCCCGTTGGCAAATGCAAAGTGTAGTCGCTCCAGTGTTTTGACACACCATACACAGCTTTCACTGTACGTCCCTTTTCAGACCAGCTGATGTTGCTGTCGGGGTTACAGTTGTACTCAACCCATTGCCTGGTGAAGTCACCAAGCTGTGGAGGGTCTGCTTCCTCGATGTCTACAACTCTGGCCATTTCTGCTCCCTGCACGGCAACATACTGGTCATTTACTTTTCTTACTTCTTTAACCCAAGGCTGGGAGTTCTCACAGTCTAAAACGATGATGAGTCGAGAACAAAAAGTGCTGTTCTTTTCTCTCCACCAGTCCAACAGTGTGTCAAGTCGTAAAGCATCACCCCCTGCCACAAGTAAAAAAAGATTTAATATTAGGAAAAAAGAAACAGAAACCTCTGTAGAATTTTGACTGCAGGTTCCAAGAATCCCTTATTTTAATAATCTGGACAGATATAACAGAAGTTTTCAACTGATCCTCCCCGTTTGTAGATGTTGCAGATCTCTGGAGAGGTATTAACTGATTCCACCTGACTTGCTGTGGCAGATGAGGCCATTAACTCACCCTTGATTTGGGGGGGGGAGGGAGAATTCCCTCACAGAGTGAAAGAAATTACAGCCTATTGAAGAAATCTGAGAATAGCTAAACAAGGAAAGAAAACCTGAAATAGAGTTTATATTGTATTAGATGTTAATAATTTTAAGGAAAAAAAAAGGACTCTTTTTAATATGTTTTTATTAACATTAAAAAGGACTCCAACCTTACCCTCGCCAACCATATCCTGGGCCAACTGTATCCTCAGCTGCATCAAAAGAAGCGTGGTCAGCAGGTTGAGGGAAGTGATTCTCCCCCTCTACACTGCTCTCATAAGACCCCACCTGGAGTACTGCGTCCAGCCCTGGGGCCCCCAACATAAGAAGGACATGGACCTGTTGGAGCGAGTCCAGAGGAGGGCCACAAAGATGATCAGAGGGCTGGAGCACCTCTCCTACGAAGGCAGGCTGAGAGAGTTGGGGTTGTTCAGCCTGCAGAAGAGAAGGCTTTGGGGAGACCTTATAGCAGCCTTCCAGTACCTGAAGGGGGCCTACAAGAAAGCTGGAGAGGGACTTTTTACGAGGGCATGTAGTGATAGGCCAAGGGGTAATGGCTTTAAACTGAAAAAGGGTTGATTTATATTGGATATAAGGAAGAAATTTTTTACGATGAGGATGGTGAAGCACTGGCACAGGTTGCCCAGAGAGGTGGTGGATGCCCCATCCCTGGAAATGTTCAAGGTCAGGCTGGACGAGGCTTTAAGCACCCTGGTCTAGTGGAAGGTAACCCTGCCCATGGCAGGGAGGGTTGGAACTAGATGATCTTTAAGGTCCCTTCCAACCCAAATCATTCTATGATTCTATGACTCCTCTTTCAAGGAAAAGAGAGGACTTCTGAACACAACACGTGCTAACAGTTTTGAAGCACAACAAGAAAGCCACCTACAGGCACAACCACCGCTTTAGCTTGAAAAATTCATGTGACCAGAAATGGAGAGATTCACTCTATAGACACAGTTGTCTTCAGAGCATCAAGAAAACTAAAATTGGTATGGATTTACAACGCAATGAAACAAAAATCTCATAGAAATTTTTCCACAATACTTATTTCCTATCAGCTCAGAAAACACTTGCAACCAGAGTGTCCAACTTCTCATGTTCCATCTCAGCTCTTGCTCCAACAATGCTTTGAAAGAGCAGATTGTAATTAAACAAAGTTACCTATAGTGGGGAGTCCTTCTGCTGAAGTGTAATGGATACTGCAGGATCTATGTAGCTTTGAAAAGCAGACAACTTACTCAAGTGCCTAAGGAAAACATCTTGCAAACAAGTGAATAAATCTCCATTGGCTCCACAGTGACTATTAATGTGAAGAACTGATATGTCTAGGTGTTGGCAGGTTGGAGCTATGATACAGATTTACAATAAAAACACTCTAGTCTGAAAATGTTGACTTTTAAAAAAAGATGACTTTTAGAAGAAAGGTAGAAAAATGTGATTTAAAATAACTGCATTTTAATTCCATAGTGATTTTCATTGTGGAATATAAGTACATTTAGCAGTGTTTAAAATCTTGTTAGCAGGAATTTAACTGCACAGATGAATCTCAAACAGAATAGCTGCATATTTCAGCACTTACATTCTACCTGTAAGGGGTGACAAAAAAGTGCTTCAAATTAATAGCTCAGAGTTAATGCTTTTAGCATGCTCTTGCAGTTAAAGTAAAAGCAAAATTACAGGGCTACCACTTTCTCCAAAAAAATGCAAACCTGGAAAATTTAGTACCACAGAAAATCTTAATATACATACCCACAGTAATGACTTGTCTTGGTACATGATCCCCAAATTGCTGTAGTTATTTACAGCAGAGACTTGTATAAAAGCATTCTCCCTTTTCTAGGTAAGCCTTCTGTGTCAATTAGCAGTAAAAAATTTCTTTATTTGTTCATGTTTTAAAGACTTATAAATAAACTTTATTTTAGTGTAACTATGCAGGGGTGCAGGTGACTTCAAAACAGTACTGGATAGAACTGCCCAAAGAAAACCATCTCATCCTTCATACACATGCACAAACACATGCTCAGCTTCTAACCCTACTGACCTCAAACACATGGACTTAGCAGCTAGCGCAAGATTTAGGCACCAAGCTGTGTAAGAAATCTATGCGTCTGGCCACATCTGGCTCTTTGGCAGGTTTCGCAGGCAGTTAAGCCGACAGTTTCAGCAACAGAGACAAAGCTTCATTAGCCCAGCTCTTGCCTTTGCCTTCACTCAGAGAACATGACCTCCCCGGTCATTTGACTGCTCACACTTTATGCATGACTAGTTAACAGTTTCTTTTTTACTCCACTGTGTTACAACTCAGCTTCCAAAAACAGAGGAACATCATTAGTGACCTAATAAATCCAGTAAGCCTCCTTTAAAAGATGTCATTGTAAAGCAAAGACTACACTGCTACTGCTGTGCTGTATCATGGCATAAGCCAGCAGTAAGACACTACTAGTTCTATTAGATCCAAATGTTGTATTTCATTGTTGCCATCTCTCTTCATCCTCTCCAGAGGTCAGAGGACGGTACACATTACAGGAGCTGATGACCAAATGCTCCATCTGTTAAAAACCGCCACCGTCCAATACATGCAGTACAATTACACAATCAAACAGCCTTCCTCTTTCCAGTTTATACTCCAAGTTACATTCAGGGGCAGCGCCATCTGGAAGGAGCATCAGGTTACACTCCATGATTTATCGAAAATTAATCACAAAAAAGGATGCAAGACGTGACAGCTGCCTGTTCCTCTCTTTATGTGACTACACCTATCTCCAAGCAGAAGCTGAAGATGATCGTGGATACAGAACTGAAAAGCAACTTTGTGAAAAAGCTGAACACCACTGCATTTACACACTGTATCTTTTAGCACAGAAACTTTCTTTTTATTGTAATGGTTACCTTGGCCCTTATCCTAGAAGTGAAGACAGAGTTTAATTTAAGCCGCAGCTACCTGAACAGGTATACAGAGACTGGAGCTCCCCTGTCACACTCCAGGCTGGCCAGATGTAAGCCAGGACTGGGCTGGAAGCTGTCCAATTTTTGCAGCAACATTTGGCTCTATATATACTATAAAGCTAACCGCACCTATGCTGCTGGCTGGAGCACTGGTGGGAGGCAGAGTTTTGCAGCTAGCCTGCTCCACGCAACGTATAGACACACTCAGCAATTGCACAGGGCAGCAGCTGCTCTTATGGACAAGACCACCCTATTCTCGGAGAAGTCATTCAGCCACCTTGGTGTACGCTGCGGTACATCGCTTGTGCTAAGCTCAGAGTACAAGTGGTGGCTTTTTTAAATCACTGATACAGATGAAGCCTTTGAGAAAAAATACACATTGCTCTTCAGCAGGTGTAAGAGTTCAGGCAAAACTTTGAAGTTGCACCAAAACATGTATACAGCCTCCAGATGAAGACTGACCTGCACCTGAACACCTCAGCATGACCACATGGAAAGCTAACATCTGTCTACACTGTTGAAGAGCACATGGCCCTGGACAGAGACTGCTGACAAACAGCCAGGAGCTCACAGGCAAAGAGCGCTATCCAAGAGAATTAATTCTGTCCCAGGAAGAAAAAAAGCTGCAAATTTTCGATGTATTTACTACAAGATTCACTTTTTGCACACAGCAGCCTCAGAAGCCCAGTTCCATACAGCAGGAGGGCAAGGCTAAACCTACCGGTGATTTGAAAACTTTCAGTAGGTTTACCAAAGAACACAGTTGAGATAGGAGTGCCCATTATAGAGATCAAAAACAGGCCAAGAATAGGGGAAATGGTGAAGTCTATGCCAAGCATATGACGAGGCATTAAACCAGCCCTTTATATAGGGGTTTGTAGTCTTGAGGCTATACTGTGCCCACAGTGACTCTCAAAGTCTAGGATGTCAGCAAACCATAGCTGTTTTCACGATACAAGGTTTGCTACATGTTTGAAGACCTGCTTTCCTAGTGTGGGTTGTATACCTGCCTCCTACTTCTTTTACTGATTCTATCTTTTACAAAAAAAACAGAGCACATCTTAAGGACAGGTATGCAGTCCTTCATGACAGCCTAACTGACACAGTGACACAGAACGCTGTATAATTCACTCTGCCATGTCCAGGGAATGAGAAGAGATTATGCTTGTTCATTATGGTAAACAAATATTCTTCAAAATACAGAGGAAATCTATCTTTAGAGAAGGAGGGGGTCATGTTGACTTTACTTTTTGGGGAGGAAAAAAGTAATCTTTAAAGTTAACTTGTTGAATTGTAAGGGGAATATGAAATCACGTTTAAACTTGTAAGCATACATTTGGGGTCAACAATATTTAGACAATTTTGAGAACAAGTGTAAGATTAGTTAGCTGCAAAAGGATTTTTATCAAAGTGACTAAATACTAAAATGACATAGAAGTTCATAAAGCAACGTACCTGACTGTCACACGGAGCAAGGTAAGGAAAGAGCTGCTTCTTTACATCAAATTAACTGCATACAAAAGGGGCTTCTGCATTTCTCCATTCTCTCCACTAGCAGAGGTAGTTGGCCTGCAACCTTGCCTATTTTGATGATTCCTTGTAGCCCCTGAATCTCTTAACAGCCATGCTCTGTATATTACCCTTTCCTTTCTTCCTCCCCTGCCAGGAGCTTGTATGAACCTGTTCTCCAAAGACCGGTGGTTCTTTGCCATTCCGGACTATCAGATAATAAATGTGACCAAAACTTCAAAGTTTTCCAATACAGTATGATTTTTAAAAGAACGAATTAATTGATTTGGAAAGTTTATCAATACTAAAACTATTAATAAAAAAATCCCAAACCAGTTACCTGCCAGTGCCCATTCGCCAGTGCCATGTGAGTGACCACTGTAATATAAAATGTAGGTATCATGTCTGGGTCCATCTGCTGTCCGAAGCTCAAGAAAAGACTTGATCTTGGAGTGAAGGGTATCAAAGGTCAGTCCGCTTGTAGAATAATCGCAACCGTATGTCTCAATCATGTGATACGCAAAAAATCTTTGGATGGCATTAAGCATGCCAGTAGACCTCAGATTTAACTCTTGCACATGCTCAGGTGGAAGAAGAGTTGGTTGGCCATCAGGACTAAAGAGAAGAAAAACAGCTATGATTATGATTTATAATTATTTCATGCTTAGTGGACTTCTAGCAATTGATGATTTTTTTTCCCTGTGCATATTTTCTCTGCCGTGAAGTAGCACCTAAATTCAAATTGACTTGAAATATACAGTTTATAAACAATTCAAAATATTGCATTTGAGTGAGGGACCACTATCTCCCCCTCCCTTTTGTCACACTTCTTCACTTCAAAGTGTAGTCCTTACACAACTCCATGCTATTCCTGCAGCTGAGAGAGAGAAGGAGAGAGAGGGGAGCTGTGATGTGAACATGCTGAGCTTCAACTATTCCATTAAGTTCCACTGAAAGAGCACGGCCTTCAGGCAGACATTTGTTCACACAAAACTGGAAAGAAACCCAGGGAGAATGAGTGTTAGTCTGCACAAAACATCATGCAAACTAGTTTCCAATAATAGACTAAAGAGAAATCCAAGCACACGTTTTGCTCAGATATTTTGAATTAATTTCTCTCTGTTCCAAACTAGCCTTTATTCAATATGGTACCCACGCAAATACACCAATTCTTACTTGTGTGTGCTGTTCAGATGCTGATCTTTCAGCCTAACAAATATGTTTCAGATGACAATATTCACTGCTTAGAAATGAAAGTTCTAAGAAAATTACAAACTAGACCTGGAACAAACCACGTATATATAGATGTGTATGTGTGTATAGATATGAATATGCACATATAACAAAAGAGTCCCTGGGTTCTCTGGGCAATGGACAGATTTTGTGGATGAAAATACGGAGATGGTCTTACTCTACTAATACAAAATATGACTTCTGTTTTTTTATATATATTTATGTATGTGTGTATGTATTCTTCATGTATTTTGTTTGCAAGTCAGTGTGTAAAGCTACCTGCTTTCTTTTTTGGTCTAGCTAATTAAATTTTGCACCTCCTCACCTGTCTAGTGCCTTCATGAAGGTTAACGTTCCACTACTACGATTATATTGAATACATCATCATTATTGTTTGTCTCAGCAAGTGAAGACTGGGCCCATTACTGAAACAGTCAAGCTTCGTTAATAAGGAAGTTTAGTTCTGTCAGGTCCTAAACAGTTGCTCAAGAGTATCTCATTCACTCAGAAATTAGAGGGAACTGCCAGAGCCAGAATAATATAATACAATGAAAGAATTAAATTATTGCCATGGAAACAAAAAGAATTTATTTCTATTGTAATGTAAATTTTGAAATTTTTTTTTTTATCCCTAACAGTAATTGATTACATGGATTTTTTTTAAAAGAATGCACAGCTGAAGACTGTAGATCAAAGCTCAGAAAATTTGTTTTTACAGCATTTTACACTATTTAAGATACAGTGATCTAAGATCAGCACGCTACCTTCTGTTTCTTTGCCCGTTAACTTGTTTCCCTATCCACTGAATCCATTACACATACTGCAAGCTGGGCAGTTTTCATAAATTGGGCAGTTCTATTTTTAAGCCTCTCATTTCAACTTAGCACCCTGTTTCTCTTGTAACTCAAACAGATAACTTACATAGCTCTTGTTTATCATTTAAAAAAAAATGTGTAAACACAATTTTAATTATACAGCTAAAGTAGCATTTGCAAGTTTACAGCTTCTAAGAAAAACACACAAATGGGCAAATAGTAATAGTACAATCCCTCCACCCCCAAGCATTTCTCATACGGTAACATTTTTATTGGAACAAAAATCAGCCACGAATTCACAATACCAATAACTGACACGTAGGCCACTTGTAAATCTAATTTCAATGTCCTTTAAATGTAGACACCATCTCATTTAACAAAATTCAAAATTGTTTTAAACCGATCTGTTTGGTTTATTAAATCTCCTGTTATAAAATATCTGCACTCAGTCAAATGCCCCAATCCTCCTTTGCGTGAGATATGCACTGTGGAATCTGCCTATGCATTATTGGTGCGTAAAGCATTCATTAGCTTTCTAAAAGCAAATGAAATACATATAAAAAGGTGGAGTTGGAGTTACTCATTCTTTTTGGAAGGCGAGGAAAAGGAAAAACACAAAATCTGCCTATTATTTAAATTTGTATGTAATTATTGAAAAATACAAGCAACAGCACTGCATTGCCTCTACGAGCTAACAGTACACTTACACTACTGTGAAGTGGAAATACATCGTGGTAACTATACCTGCAAAAGTTGGTGGGAATCACAACTGCATACCCAACACAGGTTCCTCCCAAGCAGTTTCCCAGCTCATGGAAAAGCCCATGAGCCATGGACTCCAGAGGTAACACGATGAGAAACGCACTCATGAAGATCCCATTGGTTGGCTAAAAAGAAAATGGAGAGATTTAAGTATTGCATGAAAAATCCTTCCTATCTGTTGGCGATGGTTTTATGAGTAATTCCCTGCATTTGATCAAACATAATTGGGTCCTGAAACATGCAAGTTATTATACGCAATGTATACTTATTTTTCCACATACTGCACAGTGAAGTACTCTAAAGGCAAATGAAAGGCCAGTTTGGGGGTTTGGGGA